TCCACCAGATTTGGTCTTCTTAGTTATATTCTCCAACTAAATTATAAGCTCTTTGAGGGAGGGACAGAATCTTATTTCCTTATGTCTCTACACCTGGCTCATTGCTTTGATATTATAGGTGCTTCCGGGATGTTAAGTGGGTTTGTAGAGAAATTATGGGGAATAAAAAAGTAGCAATATTTTTATTCTCATAGGAAAAGGAGAGAAATAGCAGGCACTTGTAAAGGTAAGTTAAAATAATTTATTGACAGCCAAGGTGACTGTTAAAATGCTTGCTGAATTATTAGTCCCAGGGGAGCAAAAGGAGGGAGACCTGAAAGACTTAACAAATAATGAATCAAAGGATGGTCCCTGTAGCCTCCTGTTAAGAGGCAGAGATATTTCAACATCTCAAGAATCAAGTACTACAATCTTTTATGAGACTAGAAAATCATTGTAGGTCTCATAAATTTCCCTCTTCTCATTGTTCCGAAGGCTTAATTTAGGATGAGTCACTCCATAAATCTAGACAAAGATGACTAATGATTATAATAACAATATCATAAATTATATAGTGCTTTCCCTCCAAAGCAAAACGGTATCTAATTTATTCTCACAATATTCCTCATTGGTTGCTAGGACCAGGGACGATTATCTCTATTTTTTGGCAACCAGGGGATGGAGGTGGGCATACCTGTTTATTCTGGTAGCATGCCATTTCCTGTGGCTGCATCTTCATGTCTAGCCAAGCTTACTCCGAGGGGATTAGGACTCCCTCCTCACCTTCATCAGTCTCCAGGCCTTTGCTTCATTTTTCTTTCCTTCTAATGGTCACACCACATTCCCGACCTTCTGTAATAACATGTTTTAATTTACTCATTATCTAACTCATTGACCGGGAGCTCAGAGAACCTAGCCATAAGGGAACTAAAAAAGGTTAAAAAAAAAAAACAACTATGCAAAATGAATTTTAGTCAGTGTTTTGATAATAATTATAATACTAGTTAACTCCCTTCTTATAATGGATACTTAAAGTTATGGCAATTGCAGGTTCCCTTTTTGATATATTCATTTCAGATAGCCTGCGAATGCCAATGAGACAGGAAATATGCATGTGTTTACTATATCCTCAGTCACTCTTCAGCAGGTGATACAAGATAGTAAGCACATACTTACTCTTTTTTGCTAGGTGACTTGGTTAAAGTCACAGATTCAGTAATGCTATGATCAAAGTTTTTGAGTCATTAAAATATCAATCCAAATCTTTTGATACTCTGTTATGTGGTCCATAAGTGTGTTCTTTTGTTAAAATTTAAAAAAAAAAAAAACCTTTACAGACCTTTACCTCACAGATGAGTTAATCTATGAACAATGACTTTAAGAATACTGCCCTTTATCAGGTATGTCATTTGCAAAATATCTTCTCCCATTCCCTAGGTTGCCTTTTAGTTTTGCTGTTTCCTTTGCTGTGCAGAAGGTTTTCATCTTGATGAAGTCCCAGTGGTTCGTTTTTGCTTTTGATTCCTTTGCTTTTGGAGGCATGTCTTGTAAGAAGTTGCTGCAGCCGAGGTCAAAGAGGTTGCTGCCTGTGTTCTCCTCTAGGATTTTGATGGATTCCTGTCTCACAGTTAGGTCTTCCATCCATTTTGAGTTTATCTTGTGTGTGGTGTAAGATTTACCCCTAAGATACAAATGCAATGATCTAAAGGGGCACCTGAACCCAATGTTCATAGTAGCAATGTCCACAATAGCCAAACTGTGGAAAGAGCCCAGATGTTCGTCGACAGAGGAATGGATAAAGAAGATGTGGTCTATATACACGATGGAATATTACTCAGCCATCTACTATTTACACCTACATGGATGGAACTGGAGGGTTCCAAGCAAAATAAGCCGATCAGAGAAAGACAGTTATATGGTTTTACTCATAGGTGGAATATAGGAAACAGTGCAAAGGACCATAAGAGAAGAGAGTGAAGACTGAATGGGAAGTCATCAGAGAGGGAGAGAAACCATTAGAGACTTAAAAAAATTTTTTTAAGATTTTATTTATTTATTCATTAGAGACACAGAAAGAGAGGCAGAGACACAGGCAGAGGGAGAAGCAGGCTCCCTGTGGGGAGCCTGATGTGGAACTTGATCCCAGGACCCTGGGGTTACAACCTGAGCCGAAGACAGACACTCAACCACTGAGCCACCAGGTATCCTGAGACATTTTCAACTACAGAAAACAAACTGAGGGTTGCTGGAGGGGAGGTGAGTGGGCAGGTGGGGTAATTTGGTGATGGGCACGAAGGAGGGCACGTGATGTGATGAGGCACTGCATGTTGTTATATACAACTGGTGTATTATTGAACACTACATCTGAAACTAAGTATGAACTGTATGTTGGCTCATTGAATTTAAATTAGAAAAAGAATAATGCCTTGGTTTAAAAAAATGTTTCTTTATGGATTCAAATTGCTTTGCGTGTATTATTTTAAATGACTTCATAAGATGGTAACGAAAAGAGCAGTCATATTCTTGTCTCTCCCTTCATAGATGGACTTGATAATTCTTCCATTCGATTATTCTGAAAATATTTATTAATTGCCAAGTATATGCCAAGAACCCCTCGGTGTGCTGAATATATGGATGAACCACACTGTCCTTCTCCTTGAGGAGCTTAGAGCTTAAAAAGAGACATGGATATGAAGCAAAGAGACACATAGAGGGATGCATAACTGCAGAGTACAAGAAGTGTTATCAAGAAAAAGAATTGAGAGGGACGCAATGTACAACGAAGAGTCCAAGAAGGCATCTTTGAGAAAGACATTTGTTGTGGGATCAGAGGCTAAGAGTTAGGCTGAGCGGCTTGCACAGTAGCAGCTCGTGTGAACCATGAGCACGTAGCCAGGAACCTGAGCAGGCCATGTGGCACTGGTGGAAATAAGAGGGGAAGGGGTTCTGAAATGAGGCAGGGGAAGGGGACGGGGGTAGGGGTGCTGCCAGATGGTGTGTCATCTTGTTGTCCCTGCTAAGGATTTGAGATGGTGTTTTAAGTGCAAAAGGAAACTATTTAAGGGCTTAAGTGGAGGAGTAGAATCATTTTTTTTTTTATTTCAAAAGGACCATGCTGTCCTTTCTGTGGGAGCAGAGGTTGGAGAAGTACAAGAGAGAAGGACCAATGAGGAAGCTCTCCAGTGAGTACTGGGGTGCTCACTGTAAAGGTGAGCAGATTTCAAATCTATTTTAGACTCAGACCCATAGGACTTAGTGATGAACTGGGTGGAGCCAGGGTGGGGGATAAAGGAGATTGAGATGCTCTAGGTCTCTGAGTCTCTGACTGTCTCTGACTATCTCTGAGCATCTCTGACTGTTGGAGCCAGTAAGAACCTTAGGTGCTACCTGACTCAACTCCCCATTTGAGGGCAAACAGAATTGAGGTTCCAAGACGTGAGGTGATTGACACACACAAATAGTCATTGTACTGCAGGTAGAGAAATGAGTGCTCTTCAAGGTCCGAAGAATGAGCCAATGGAGTTAAAATAGTCTACTTATATTTAATTCTTACTTCTAGAAAAATACCTGGAACAACTATTATGAGAAACCCGCCATTTACTCTATAGATATTTACAGTAGGTCTAAGCATGCGGGAAAAAGTTCCCAGCAACTTTTCCTGTGGGTTTAAGTGACTCGTCAGGTGGGAGAGCCACCTCCTCATCTGGTCGGTTTCACAGGGCCAAGAATGCCGCAAAATCATTCCTTGAGGTTCAGTCCGAGTTTCTATTGTCCAAAGACAGACATTTGATTTTAGTTGGAAATATAAAAGAAACCACTATTTCCTGATTTGCTCCTAAAAAAGAAAATAGGGTGAAGGCTTTTTCTTTGGGTGAAGTATATTCATGCATGCACTTTTATTTTATTTTATTTTATTATTTTATTTTATTTTATTTTATTTTATTTATTTATTTTATTTTATTTTATTTTATTTATTTTATTTTATTTATTTTATTTTTTTGTTTCTTTTCCCCGATGCAAAAAGAATTGACCCCTTAGAAGTGAATCCTGCTCCTTAGCCCTGTTTGGGCAATGTGGCATATTCTTTGAAAGTTTGGTTATTTGTAAAAATGAGTGATACTTGTGAGTCAGTCTTTTAGGAGAATGGGGTTTATATTTAACGGTAATAATAAGTCTGTTTTAATGATGTAACCAATAGGTACAGATCCAATCTATGTGCCTTGAGTCAGACAGCTCCCCGTGGTAGAGCTGAAGTTCAAGCCCAAGTCTATCCGATTACAGAGCCCGTGGTCAAAGCCATCCTTCTGTGTGTTTGTTCACACCTTCACTACATGGCAAGCAGTCGTGGGCCAGGACTGTTCCAGGAGCTGGGATCCAGCAGTGACTAAAACAGATGAAAATCCCTGCTGATCATGAACTTACATTCTAATTTGGAGCAGAAAGGGATTAAAAATAAAGCATAATAAACAAGTAAAGCATAGAGTGTGCTGGAAAGCGATAACTGGCACGGAGAGAAACGTCTCTGGGTGAAAGGAGGTGGCTGCACTTTCAATGAGAAGGGTTGAGGAGGGCAACATGAAGAAGGTAGCATTGGAGAAACGACTAAGCCCTGTGGCTGTTGAAGGGAACAGCCTTCTAGGCAGAGGGAATAACAATGCGAAGGCTCTCCTTCAAGAGGTGCCTGGTATGTCTGAGGACCGGCAGGGGGGCCACTGTGGCAGCAGTGGAGGGAGGGTGTGGGGAAGGGTCTCGAGAGGCCAACGTGGGGCTGGGGAGGGTAGGAAATGCAGGCCGTGATGGAAGGCCACAGGGTCCTGCAGGGATTTCCAGGCCAAGGTACTTAAAAAATAAATAAAAGAAATCTTGTTTTGTCACACTATTGCAAGGTGAGCCTGGTGCACGTTGTGCTGGGCGCCTCCAGGAATTGGTTCATGACACTGGTTGCTGCTCTCTGGGAGCCACCGAAGACGGAGGGCTGTCTCAGGAAGTCGGTTGTGTGGCTGACCTTGCAGTAGCCAAGGGTCAGAGAGCTTGTAGTCAACCTTGCAACGAATCTGTAAATCCAGTTTTCCGGTGCTTCAGGGTTTCCCCAACTTGGACGTGCATAGAAATCACCCGTGCACACCTTATTTTTAAATGCAGGTTCTGATTCAGTGGGTCCGAGGCGCAGGCCCTGAGGCTGCCTTTCTAACAAGCTGCCCGGGGAGGAGCGGGTGCTGTGGCCCGGGGTCGGGACCTGGAGAAACAGGGCCTTAGGCTCCGCCGCAGACCTCCTGGGGCCTCCTTGCGTTCTAATTGGGCTCTTGGTCCAAACCCGGAGTCCACCGGGTCCCAGACTATCGTCCTCATTTACAAAGGAAGGACTCGGAGCTCCGGGGGCTGCGATGACCTGGGCAGAGGCCATGTGGCCCCATGACAGAGGCGTGACTTGCATGTCGTTCCCTGGCTCTTCTCCAATAGCTGCCCTGGTGGCTTTTAAGGTCTAATGCATAAAGGCGCGCTAATGAAGGCTTTTGGCTGGTGGATGTCGTGTGCGCTGGTGCACACATGCGCTCTCTCTCCTCACACACATCCACACACCGGTGGGGGAGCGAGGGGGTGCCGAAGCTCCTCTGCAGCTGCAGCTCCCAGAGGCCCGCCTTGGCAGTGGGGCATCACAGCACGCCCTGGAAGTGCTCCCCCCCCAGCTGGCCCGCACCCCGGGGGGGGACGGCTCCCTCCCACCCACTTTGCTCGCAAGCTAAACTGCGTTTCTTCCAGCTCTGAGATGAGATGGGAAGTACTCCGCTCGCCAAGGACAGCCCGGCTCTCAGAAACCGTGCACTGTGGCCCCACACCGGGCCCCAGCTTCCCGCGACCAGCAGAAATCTTGAAGCATTTCCAGCCGGACCCTGGGAGAGGTGGACCTGTTTCGGAGCCGCAGGATTCCAGGTTAGAGAAGGGTGTCCCCCACGTGCCTCCCAAACGCCGCAGCAGCTGTTCGGAGGCCCCCACCTCCCTGGGTGAGCCCTGGCGGCCTGCTCAGGCCGGGCCCTCGGGGAGGCCCTTAGCACGCACCACCCCCACGCTGAGAGCTGGGTGCAGGGACTCATGGGACTCACGCCTGCCCGGCTGCTCCCACTCAAGCTTTGCTGTGCACTTTTTATTAATGTTTAAAAAATCGTGCTGCCTCTCAGCTTTTCCTGCAGATGATGGTCAGAGAGGAGCTAACCTCCTCCATCGTCTAGAGCCCCCTGCTCCCCAGTGGGAGACACTGAGGTCCTTGGTGGCCGCGCTGCCCCCTTCCCTCTGCCCGACTGTCCAGGCTGAAGACCTCTGCCCATGTCCCGTGCATTCCCTAAAACCTTCCTGGGACCCACCGGGGTACGGGGCTGCTGGCTTTCCCCGCTCCTGGAATGCTCAGTGTCGTCACTCATCATGAGCCCTAACCCTGTGCTGTCTGGGACGTTGTGGACAACGGTGCCAGCAGCGTGGACAGTGGGATTACCCTTCACTCACACGGCGCTCAGCACTTTGTGCGAATCCTCCCCTTTACGCTCAAGAAGAACCTCATAAAATTGGTATTATTGTCCCCATTTAAAGATAAGGAAATCAAGGTATGGAGAAATTAGGGTTTGCCCAAGGTCACACAGCTGGCTCATAAGTCAGAGAATCCGGGCTGGCACAGGTGTGCTTGGACACCTGGTACCTGTTAAGTAGGTAAAGGTAGCGCCTCTTCTCCTGTTATGCGGAGACAGTAGTCAATGAGCGGTGATGAACAGCAGCACTTTAATAAACCTCCCTGGATTTCGAAAAAACTACCCTGGACATACTTCCACCTTAATATCACTACCCGTTGTCACTACCTCTAGTGCCAATACTGCTACTATTTGTCCCCCCGTTGGCATAGGTGGCTGTAGTAGTAGCTACGTTGTGTGTGTGCATTTCAGACGTCGTTGGGGGAACCACCAGTTTCTATTCTTAGTCATGGGATTGGGATAAATGCAACCTCCTCATTTACCCCCTTCCTCTGAACCTGGCGCCCAATCCTTACCAATAGAATATTCCATACTCCTGTACGGAGGGATGGATCCGAGTCCAGCCAATCAGAGACTGACATAGGAGGACAAATTTGAGATTGTGGGTACCTAGAATGGTAGGGGCCTGAGTCCACTGGGGGCCACCTTTGCCCCTAGGTAGTAAAGCCAGCCTACGAAGAAAGGCAGCACGGAAGAGGGTAAAGTGTAGAGATAAGAAACATAGACCTTTTTTTTTAAGATTTTATTTGTTTATTCATAAGACACACACAGAGAGGAAGAGGCACAGGCAGAGGGAGAAGTAGGCTTCCTGTGGGGAGCCTGATGTGGGACATGATCCCAGGACCCTGGGGTCGCACCCTGAGCCGAAGGCAGATGCTCAACCCCTGAGCCACCCAGGTGCCCCAAGTGACATAGTTTTAATGATAGATTTGAACCCCCGGATCCAGCTGGGCTTTATGCCTAGACTTTTCAGATATAAGAACAAATAAATTCTCTAATTTTGTGTAAGCTATTTTTGAGTCAGATTCATCCTCTCATAATTGAATGAGTCCGGACTCACCATTCGAAGAAACCTCCCATTAAAACGAACACTAAAATTGGAGCCCCCTGGCCCCTCTGCCTGTAAGTGGCAGTCATTTGAGCAGCAAGGGTCTGCTCTCCTTGTTATCCAGACCACTGCTATTCAATAGCATCTTCTGTGATGACTGGATTATTTCAGAAATGATTGAAGACCTGCATCGTCTGAGACAGTAGCTCTTAGCCACGTGTACTCCTGAGTGTTTGGACAGTGGCTAGTGCAATGAAGGAACTGAAATTTTAATTTTGTTTGTTTTAAACTTAAATGAGCACATGTGCTAGTGGCTATTATATGGGCAGCAAGTTCTAGACCACCTCTGCTCTATATGAATGAGTAGAGAAGCCCTAGATGACTCCGCTGCAGCAGATGGAGTGGCCAAAGAATTATAGTTTCTATCTCTGTTTTCGCTGGGTTCCCAGGTGTCCTTTGGTCTGTGTGAATCCAAAGCTCATGCTCTTCCCCCTGGAGGAGGCTCAGAGAGGGGGATGACTTGACCAAGTCTTCTAATGGCAAATGCCTCAATGGCTCTGCTTATGCAACGGCGGATGAAAGAAAACTCTCACTCTTTGACCATGGCTACCCCGCTCTGGTCTGTCTACCCAGATACCTGCTGTGAAACGGACCCCAGGAAGTCACTGTAGCTGTAACTCCTTATAGTCTAGATTGTGCCAACACTTCATGGTGAGAATAAAGAGAGAAGAAGAGACATGGCAATATTCAGATTGCTCTTGTTTGTCTTCTATGTCTTTATCTAGGTTTGCAGAAGGCGGAGGCCAACCTTACTCAACTAGAAATTCATTTAGTCATCAAGAGCTTTTGGAGGCAGGTGGACCAACTTTAAATTCTGACTCCATCACTGGACACATGTGAGACCTCCATGGAGCCATTTGTGGTCTTGGAATGATGAGTTTTTGCAACCAAAAATAACTAGGGCCATAGCATCGAGCTCATGACATCTCAGTGAGTATTAGGCGAGACAGTTCACATGAAAGATGTCGCTGAGTGCTCTGCAAATGCCCTCCACCATGCCCATTTCATATTATTACTGATATCTATGGGGTCGTGTTTTCAGTAATGAAGGGCACAAAACACGTTGGTGATTCTTTACAACTTTCCACACCAGGGCCCCTCACTAGCCTGTGACACCCTTTCCATCTGAAATTTTGCTGAAAGGCTGAACGACATTCGCCTCCACAAATCACCCAGTCTTAACTGGGGTAAAGTAAATGGAGAGCCCTGGTCAGAAAGATGAGTGTCTGCCCGGCCTAATGACGGCTCTTCACTGCTTGGCAACTTTCTTTTCATCTTTCAAAGATGTCAAGGGTTTGTGCCAGTGGGGTTTAAAAATAAATCCATGCTCTTCATTTCCCAAAGGCTGAAGCACTGAACACCTTCACGATGACATGAGGCCGCGGCTCCCCTGCAACCCGGGCGAGGAGGTTGTGCTGCCACCCGGGCTGCCTGTCTGGCTGGGCTTCAAACTACTTAAGACTGCAGTTCGGGAGGCATTTATTCCAAAAAATATTTATTGCACGCCTCCTACTTTCCAGACTTTGTGCTGGCCGCTGAGCATACAGGAAGAAAAGGGACAGCCTACAGCTGCCCTCCTGGAGTGTATAGTTCATGGTGTCGCCTGCTGGCTCACGATGGGGGCTATTTTAGTGCCCCATTTACAGGAGACTGGTCATCTGCCCCCAGTTATTTCCTTGTTAGGACAGCACCGTTGGTGCAGCCTCCAGGTAAGTATAGGTGGTTGGGAGGACATTACGTGATTCCGTGCTGAGGCATCTCTTCAGTTGTTTTTTTTTTTTTTTTTTAACTATTGGTCCTTGCTTTGAGTTTCTTTCTTTCTTTTTTTTAAGATTTTACTTATTTATTCACGAGGGACACACACACACACAGAGAGGCAGAGACCCAGGCTGAGGGAGAAGCAGGCTCCCTGCAGGGAGCCTGATGTGGGACTCGATCCTAGGACCCCAGGGTCACACCCTGAGCTGAAGGCAGATGCTCCACCACTGAGCCACCCAGGTGTCCCCATTTCTTCAGTTTTTTATTTTCATCAGGCAGAGAGAACATTCCTATGTCCACATAAAATAGTGGAAGGGCCGGAGTCGCGCACAGCGGGCACAGTTCTGCACATTAGGGGAAGGAGCCTCGCGAGGCCATATTATCACATCCTCTGCCCCGTAGGCTTGAGTGGGCTCATTTTCCCCAGACTTGTCGGTCACACTTGCTTCAACGTCAGATGCAAGTGTCCCAACCCCCAAGCTGTGGGAAGCAGATTCATGGCCATGGTGGCTTGGGAGCCGGAGTGCCCGGTTGCCGCCCGTGTCTTGGGGCCAGAGCACCGAGCCCAGGCGGGGGCAGCCCTGGGCCGAACTTGGGCAGCAGCGAGCCTCTTCCTCGGGGCGGCGGCTGCCCCCAGCAGCTTGATGAGGCCACGGTCCTGTGCATGGGCCCAGGCCCTGAAGCTTCTGTGGGGCATCCACGGTTCCCGGAGATGGACAGACGCACAGCCCTTCAGTTGGCTTGAGTTCCTCTTACCTGAGTGGCCGCTGGCTGAGTCACTGGCCCCGTGAAATCCCAGGGCCGACTACGCCCATTTATGGGGATGGTGCTGGGTGCTCCTCCACCTGCCGCGCCCAGGTGGGCAGCACACCACCTGCCACCTGCCAGGTGAGCCTGCCCCCGGCTGGGGGAGCCTGCCACCTTCCAGGTAAGCCTGCCACCTGCCAGGTGGGCGCCCGGGGGATGTACAGTGATGACGACAGACCCCAGATCAGGCCGCAAGGCCCTGAGAGAGCCAGACTGCGTGCAGGCCGTGCTGTACTGGACCTCGAAGCCCTAAACCCACACTATCTGAGGGAAGGAGCGACCATCCACCTCTTTCTTCATAAATGCCAGTCAGTTAGATGCTGGAGGCTCCGGGGCAGGGATGGGGGGCAGGGATGGAGGACGGGGAGGGGGACTGGAGCTTTAGTTAAAATAAAAAAATAAAAAACTATTGTTTTCGGCCCCTGCTTGATCCTGCAGGGACCTGCCACTCCACTACAGCTTTCGAAAGCCAGATGCCGTGGGGTAGAGCTCACCAGCTCTACGCCCTGGTTAACATCTTCTCTGACCTCACCTTCCTTCCTCTGCCTCCTCCACACGGGTTCTGCTTCTGAGCTGCTTTGATGAAAAATCCATCCCCTGCAAGTTCCCGCAAAACACCCAACCTCACAGCGCCCCGTTTCTCTATCACGTTTCCCGAAGTTTCTAGGTCGTGTTGCGCAGATATGGTTTTGCTAGTATCCTGCCGGTGGCCCTCAAACTCCCGGTCCCCTCCCATTGCTACGCAGCCCCAGACACCCCAATCACACGTACTTGCTCCCTGAATCTTCCAGAAGTCCACGTGTGAGCCCCCACGGGGATACCCATCTGGTGGCTTCCCCACGGAGCACAGGCGTTCTCTGTCACTGTTCCAGTCTTCGGAAATCCGATGGCTAGAGTCCTCTCCATTTCTGCACTCATAGAGGTCTAACAGTTTTATGCACATTGTCCTGTAATCCTTACAATCACTCAAGAAGTGGATGTTTTGTCTTCATTTTATGATGGAAACACGGACTCTGAACATGATTTGCCCACGTTCTCCCCGGGGCAGCCGTGTTGGGGACCTTTGCTCCTCACCCAGACTCTGACGCATTGCCTGCTCCCTCCGGCCTCCCCCGTGGACCAAGGCAGGTGGCGCAGAGAAACAAGGGGTTTTTGCTTAGCCAGGTGACTCTATCACCATCCTCGTCACCCCAGGGCAGTGCTGTTGAGACTTTGGGTGGGCGATTTGCTGCAGGGAACTGTCTTGGGCATTGCTGGGAGCCGGGCATCCCCGGCTCCATCCCCAAAACGCTGGTGGTGTGCTCCAGGCATGGTGGCAACCAATGAAATGTCCCTGAAATGTGTCCCTGAGGGTCCCTTTTTGGGGAAGGGTGGTTCCTACTCCATGAAGAAGACAGATGATCCCTAGGAATCCATAGGCTGATAAATCCTCCTTGCTGTACTAATCAGTTAGTTGGAAGGTGGATAGGAAGAGAGCAGCCCCTGCTAATGGTAAAACAGCATCACGAGGCAAAAGGGTCAAGAAAGAACAGAAGAGAGTAGGAAAAACAGAATATAGCCCTGATTTTGACACACAGAACCTATGGAAGACCCAGGTTACAAGGCCACTGTCACCCCTGGAATTTGGCTGCAGGTAGAGTCCAAGGTGGCAGGGAAGCAAGGCCAGGAAGTGGTGCTTTGGGAAGCAGTGTGAAGCAGCATATAGAGGTGGACAGATGACTGGAGGAGAGGGAGAAGGGTCCGGATCTGCTTTTGGCTGGGTCGCAGGCCACCATGTAGTCTTGAGTACTCCCTTTCTCACCTACAGGATAAGAGGAGAATGAGATCATGGGATGACTAAGAGTCTTCTTAGCCACGTGTCTCAGTTTGGGGGTATTTAGGGGATCAGAAATGCTGGTCATTTTGTTTACTGAGAGTTCTTAATACTTTGGTTGCTGTGTACGGTTTAGCGGGCTAACGACTTCCATACTTCTCAGTCACTTCAGCCTGAATCATCTGGATCCCTTGGGAGGAAGGAAAGTCCAGGTCCATGATTTGATTCTGTTCAGAAACCATAGCCCTCGGTCCCAGGCTCAGGGCCTGTGCTGTCCTATTTATTCCTGCTGGCAAGTCACAGGCTCCGGGTTAGGGAGATACATGATCTTAAATGTTAGCAGAGTCAGATGTGCTCAATGGAAACAGTCTGGCTAACTCACAACAGATTCTCAGCCCTCTTGGCTGTCCTCCAGAAATCATGTCTGGTCGGATTTCTGCAACAGATCTGATAGTTGCTGACTTAGAGAACGTGGAAGCTGTTTGTGAATTCATGGTGAATGGTCCTAATTCCAGACACAAATTCCCATTGACAGTGAGAGGCTAGAAATGTACAGAAAATGCATTGAAAGCTTATTTGTGAAGTGTGTGTGCATGCGTGTGTGTGTGTTTGTGAGAGAGAGAGAGAGAGAGAGAGAGAGAGGGAGAGAGAGAGAGAAGGAGGGAGGGGGACACAGAGAGAGAGGGAACCAGAGTGTGTGAAATATAGGTTGGTAGAGGCTAGATACCTTCTAAGTGGAATATTTTGTAAAAGGAAGGAATAGACTAGAATGATGAGCTCTAATGATTTTCTCAACACAGAACAGAACATAACCTCACAAGACATCACCAAAACAGCGTGCCCTTCCAGAAGGCCAGCATGTAACCTTTGATGATTGACAGAAACAGGGTGGGCAGACATAGGACATAGGAGGGGTGGTAAAATTTACCCGAGTTTACAGATCAGTTTCCTTTATTTTGTGTTCTAGAACATCAGGGAACCATTTTGGTACATGATCAAACCATTTTCTAAGGATTTTTTTTTTCCATTTTGATGCACTGATGATTTTTGTGTTTTTACTTTTCACTACATATTTCATAGAACCTGGCCCTGTCTCCGCTACCACGCACAGAGCTCTCCTGTACGAATGTGTGCATGCGTGCAAGTGGTGCAAAAGGTAATTTGTGCAGCTAGGAAAGATGGGAACCGGCTATTTTAATCTCTTTTGCAGATTTGCTACTTGTGTGCCAAGTGACAATTCTAAAACAAGAGAGGAAAAATAATATTAATATCTAATAATTGACTGGATTATAGATATAATATAGATAATTGCCTTATTGCCCGTTGGTCAGATTTCTGCTGTTAAGCTTCTCTATGGAAACCACTTTTTAGGGTGGGCAGATGCAGGGATATAGTTGAGTAGACACGTACATTGTTGCTGCTTTGAAGACTAGAGTTTGAAGAAACATCTTAATTCTCAGTATGAGGCCAGGGAAATGAAATTGCGAGAGTCAGCTCTTAGACGGGTGATGTTGAGAAGTTAATTTTGGAAAGCTAGGACTTACCTGGTTTCACTGGTAGGACATTTTTCCCCAGTTCATGTTGTATGAAGACTATGGGAGGAGCCTTTAGACATGCATTTGCTCCTTCAGAGGACAGGCGGGCGTGAGTGCTGGTAACATCTAAATGGAACTTTCTTTCAAGGTGTTAGGATAACTTCTATGGTTCAGTCGCCTGACCTATTGTACACAGAAACTCTTTAGTTGGTAAAAAAAAAAAAAAAAAAAAAAAGTCCAGTAAGTTTAAAAACAACAAATCAGGAATCTAATC